AGCTGCGCACAATAGGAATAGAAAGCAGAGAAATGGCCAAAAAGAAAGCGGAATGAGCATCGGTTGACTACAGGAGCAGGAAGTACGTGCCCTGGCTAGGCTTAGTTTAATGGTCACATAGTCATCGCGCTGTCCGTCCGTCTGCCGGTCTCAATTCTCAGCCGCCCATTGTCGTTTGCTGTTAATGGATTGATGTGAATGTGGCCGCGCCAGCTTTTGTCCCAAATGACAGCAGTCAAATGAGCTCTCGCACAATAAACCGTCCAGGCAATACCCCAGACTGTGCCTGGGTCCGTGTCCGTGCCCGTGCCCCTGTCCGGTCCGTACACTCACCGCGTGTAGCCTGTGTCCAGTGATTGGGTCCGCGCATCGATGCGCAGCACGGCCGGTTTGCTATAGGGACCGACGCCCACCCGGGTGGCCGCCGCCACGGCAATGTAGTAGGTGACGCCCGTTGTGAGGTTGGCCAGCAGCAGGGTCGGTGTCGCCGCATCAATGGTCATATTTTTGAATATACGCGTCGTATTGTGCACATCCAGACCCTTGACGAGCACATTGTAGCTGGTGAGGATGCCTGCCGTGCGGCCGCAGAGACAGCGCGTGGAAGAGGGAGAGACAGAGGGAAGAGAACAAATGAAATTAAATGTTAACAAGAGCACAAAGGAAATAGTTACTTATTCGGTCAACCGAATGATTAAATACCCTTATTAAAGTAGCATTTTTTTTTTGTATGTGGTAAAAGAATTTTAAGGAATTGATGATGAGCAAAAGTTGGACCATATATATATATATTACTTTTTTTTATTTTTACTACCTATTTGATAACTGAATATCAAAAATTTGATCTAATCTACACTTAAGTATTTGTATTGTTTTAAAGGAATTGTTTATTATACTAAAAGGTTTTTTTTAAACAAATAATAAACCTTTTCCCATATATTTTATCTGCCCTCTAGTTTCACAGAAATTATATATAGGATTTTCGGGAAAACTAAATAAATAGTTGATAATAAAAACGTATTCTTTAATAAAAAATCTATTCAATATCACTAATAAATTTGGCTGGCTAAATTTAGGAATCTGTTCTTGATATACGTACATTAGTCGGACTTAAGATCCAATGTCTTTATATACATAAGTATATATGATACAATATAATACGATTATATCATTAAATATTTCCAACAAACCTACAACTCCGATCTGTTACAAAATCAATTTGCAAGCTAAATTCACCTACCGTAGGGTGTCTATAATAGGCGCATTTTGGGGATTCGTTTACAGTACTTACCATTACGTGTGCGATTCGGCTGTGGTGCAAGCCATTTGAGGAAGACGGAGGTGCGATTGAATTGGATGGCCTCCATGCCAAATGGCGGTGCCTCGGGTACTGTTAACAAAAAGAAGAGGAGAGAGCAAATGAAGTTGGATTAGTGGCAGCAGATGGGACATTGAAAGCCCGGGATCAGCTGATTAGCAGGTATATGGGAAAAAAGCAATCTTGGGCATTCTTACCATCTTCCAGGGTGCGCGCGTGTCGGGAATTGGAGGGTTTGCCTACGACGCTCTTGTAAAATGGCACAAGAAAAAACTCATACGTAGACGCCTTGGCCAGATTGGGCACCGTGCAGGAGCTCAGGCCCTGACCCTTGTTGAGCAGTGTAAGCATCTTGTATTCCGCCGAGCGCAGCTCACGTGCATACAAATAGTAGCCCTCGATGTACTGGCCGCTGTCTATGTCCCAGGCGAGTCGCACCGAGGTCGAGTCGCTGGCATTCGCCTCCAGCAGCTCGACAATGTCATTCGATTGCAGCAGCTGCTCCACATCGCTGAGCAGCAGCTGCGAGCTGGCCGAGCCGGCGGAGGCGTCGCTGCCATCGCGCACGCCCACCAGCTTGCCGGCCGTAATGGGCTCCGAGATGGGCGAGGGCGGCGAGAAGCCCAAGGCATTCTCGGCGCGCACAATGAACATATAAGCAGCGCCCTGCTCCAAACTGTCCACCGTGACAATTGGCTCGCTGAGCCTGCTGGCAATGGGTATCCAGGTCTTGCTCTTGTTCGTGCAGTACATTTCCACGCTGTAGCCGTGGAACGGGGAGGCGCCCAGCTTGTCGCTGGTGGGCCACACAATTGTCATGGCCGAGGCCGTGGCATTCAGCACGGTCGGCTGCCCGGGTGCCGTGGGGCATTTACTTTGCTCGGGCGCGCGATAGAACTTAATGTTCGGATTGGTGGGCAGCTCTATGCGCAGGAAGCCGCTCCAAGTGGACTTGCCGGCCCGCGAGCTGGCCACACACGTGTAGAGACCCTGATCCTGCTGTCGATCCAAATCGGATATAATCAAATCCCCGGCGGCAGTTATGTTCAGCTTGGCGCTGGGATGCACGGGTATACCGTCGCGATACCAGGATATGGTCGGATTGGGCAGTCCAATGGCCTTGCACTGGAGCGTGGCCAGCGATTTGATGGGCAGCGTTTGGTTCACCGGCCCCGCAATGATTATCGGCGGCGGTCGATCCTCCTGCGAGTCCAGCGTCAGCTGCACCCTGGACGTTATGCTGGCCACCTCGTTCATTGCATTGCACACAATAACCAGATCCTTGTCCGTGCGCTGAAAGCGCGTCAACGTCAAGATGGAGTGGCCCTCCTCCGTGTTCAGGCTGTGGAAGCGATCAAGCGGCGGTGCGCCCGGAAAGATCAACGTGCTATTGTTCTTGATCGTCCAGAATATGGTCGGCTTGGGATTGCCCGAGGCGCGGCACTCAAACGAGGTGTCCGCGCCCAGCTCAACGGATTTGCTGGCGGGACGTTGTATGAATTTCGGGGGCGCTACAGTGTGCGTATGTGTGGGATTCATATAGGGTTTTAACTAATTAGCTAAGTGTGCTCGACTAGCGCTAACTATGTGGCTCAATGACACGAGCTTTAAATTAGACTAACATTTCTTTAATATACTGAAATATGTAAAAATGCTTTTAATTAATCCACAAAAATGAAATCCAAACATATATTAGAAATAGAAAATGGCTTACCAGATCCGACAACTATCATTTCATTAATCTTAACATTTTAATTCACGCAAAGCTTTTGCTTAATGCTCTCGCTTGAATATGAGCTTTAATCCATTCAACAATTGCAACATATCTCTCATATTATACGAAATTAATTGGCTCGCAGTCTGCGCAAGCTTTTAAGTTAAGTTCTGAAGTATAATCCGAAAGCTTTAATGCTCTTTTACAGCTTGGAATTGAAGTTTATACGATAACATTTTTAATTTATTTTTATCAAACTTTAATCAGCTTGTTATTTTTAGTTAGTTTTTCTTGCTTTAATATGATATTGATGCTCACAGCTTAACTGATTTATGCTTTCAAGCTTTTAATTCTTGCCTTTCAGAAAGCTCCCTTCACTTTAAGCTAGTGTCATTGAGCCGCAACTAAAAATTACTAAAGCAGTGACTTACCAAAGACCGTCAATGTGCCCATCGCTGTGATGGCACCCACCACATTGTCCGCCTCGCAGCTGTACTCGCCCTCATCGGCAATGGTGACGCGCTCCAGGCGCAGGCTGCGATCCTCCAGCACGCTTACACGGTCTGCAATAAGTATGCGTACACGCGGGGAAATTATACTAACTGATGAATCGCCAGGTGTTGTCTGTGGGCTTACCTAGCGGCATATTGCCACCGGAGGCGGTGCGCAGCCAGAGCACATCCGGCATGGGATCCCCGCCGACACGGCAGGGAAATGTGACGGAGGCGCCTTCGAGCACCGTTTGATCATGTGGTCCGCGTATGATGTAGGGCTTAACTGCAATAAACATAATGAAACGCTTAGCGGCATTTATGTGCAATCGTGGTGCTACGCAGGCACCCAAGTCACATTCCAGCAAATTGAACATGACACGTTGATTTGAGTTGCAGCTTGATGTGGGATTTGGCATGGATTGGGATGTGGGTGTGGGTGTAGGGTGGCAGGGGTCTACGTACCATGTACTTTGAGCGTGGCTAGGGATGATTCGCGCACACCGACAGGATTCTTGGCAATGCACTGGTATTGACCCTCGTCACTTTGACGTGCATCCTGTATGGCCAAATTGCCGCCATCAACGATGCGTATACGCTTCGTGCCCTCCAAATCCAATTTCTGGCCGCCCTTCTTCCATGTGACCGTCGGTTCCGGTATGCCGCGCGGCGGTGCACACTCCAGCAGCGCGGTGTCACCCTGGGCGATGCGTGTGTTTTGCGGCTCCAGGCGAAACTCATCGCGCAGCACTGTAAATGGAGCAGGGCGAGAAGAAGAAGACGCGATGAGGCTTGGGCAACAGCTTTAGTGTGTGTGTGCGTGTGTGTGTGTGTGTGTGTGATGGCCTCTGTCCATTTGATTCCTCCTGTTGTTGGTGGTGGTTATAAATTATCTTGGTTTTGCATGATAAATGCCTGTCCCTGTCCTGCCTTAACCTGCGGCCGTGTGCGGCTCCTTGTCTGTGTGTGTGTGTGCGTGAGTGAGTGTGCGGGTGTTTGTGGTCAGCAAAGATAAATTGTTGGTAAATGGCATAAATGTGATTTTTATACGGCATGCCCACGCACACACACGCTCGCTCAGGCAGCTTTTTACCCAACTACAGCAGTTCATTTGTAAAAAAGTCTGGCAACGCCAAGGGCACAGCTTTCTGGATAATTTAATTCTGCTTGATATACTCTATTTATTGGTTCTTATGGCACTTAGCTAAATCATGCTTTAGCTAAATCGATAATAAAATCCGAATACGCTTCATACGAATTTAAATATCAATTAATTTTATGTATTGTCAATATTTTAATAGAGTCTGGCAATGCCAGGTTAACTTTTTTCTGACTTCGACTACTAATTCGATCTAGTTAATATATTAAAGTTAACTTGTTATATTTTTGCTTAAGTCGGAAGACTCATGGTCCTTATTGAAGAGCAAATTGCATAAATTACAAATAAAACAAGTTTTCGATTTATTTACTGAGGATATTTCATAGTATTCTTTATATTATAATTTGTTATATTTTATAAAAGTATTCGCAAAAAGAGTTTCGCCCAAACAACTTAATGCACAATGACTCATACGATTAATTATTATAAATTGAAGCTAGATCAAGTTTCTAAATGTTTTACATGTATTCGCTTAGTTGATTAATTTCAAGAGTCTGAAAGATTTTGTAAATATTATATATGTACATAAGTATTTGCAAAGGGAGTTTCGCCCAGAACCCCTTTTGCAAAATGACCTACATATTTTAGAGATTATTATGTGTGGTATTCATATATTCATCATCAATATATGCAACAAATCCTCAAAGTTCCCCCAATTAGCACAATGATTATTCTACCTAGTCCTATAGATCCAAAACTCCCATTCTAGCGCAGACGTCTGGCTTCACGTTCCGATTCCAACAGCGTCAAAATGTCGCCCTCGCGCACTGGTCCCTTCACGTTGCGTATTATCTGGCGATTCTGTTCGCCCAGGAATTCCACCTTCACCTGGGTGCACTGACCCTGGGAGCCTGTGCGACCAAGCACCTTCACAACGCGAGCCCATACAATTGGCTTATCCATAATATCAGGTCGTTTACTCTTTTATTTCCTGGATAGGAAGGTTTGCATCAGTCGACAGTCGCCAGAAAAAGAAAGCTGAATGCTGCAGGCTGACGTGGAATCGATTACAAGAGCTTACTTGTATCGACCAATGTGAATGGTCAATCGGCAGTGTTGCAAGGGAAAATATCGATAGTTCCACTCAATTATTTCATTCTCAGGCACAACGAAAGTTGGCAATGTGTTTTTCAGAATGCAGGTTTTCGCTGATAAAATTCATGAGAAATATTTTATAATTTAAAACATTTTCACAAACCGAGCAGAGGATTTACTGACACATTTATTTTATTTATTTTAATACCTAAGCTCTTGCATTAAATAATATTTTCAGTTAATTGAAATGGAATAATACTTGTATTGCGGTTTATTCATGCGCCACTTTTCGCTAACCAAGAAGCCTGCATTCAGAACTGGAAAACTTTCATAGTGAAACGCATTTCTAAAGCTTTTCTTAACCCTGGCGCATAGTAAATCACGCTATTATCAACATTTTGCTTTTGCCAACCGCAGATTTAAGGCACTAACTCAGCTGTCTGCATTTATTTTGCATGGCATTCGCTCGGTTCTTTTTCGTTTTCCATTTTCCATTTTAGATTTTCCATCTTTTTTTATACGCTATCCTCCGCCATCTTGCCAGCTCCATTTTGTGGTCAAATTGCAAACCTGTAATTTGCACACCTTTCCCCCTAGGATGTCTGGCAACTCTGGTTGCAGCTAGACCGATTTGCTCAGTTATAAATTTGCTAGGCGAATATTTGTCCCCCCTACACACACAAACACATAGAAGCGGGGGAGTAGCATAATAAATCAAGTAACTTTCAAGCACCTGAAAAGCAGCAGAAAGTACATTTTCTTTTCCGTTTTTTTTTTTTGCCTGCTGCCCTGAAAAGCGAGCTTTGTGCATTCAACTTGGTCGCATTCAGCGTACACAAAATATATAACGAAAAAATCCAAAAAACGGCAGCTGCTTTTACGTAAATTACATTTTACTTTTTATTTTATTTTTTTGGTGATTTTTTTTTTATATATTTTTATTTTAATCTGCAAAGTGAATAAGCGCATTTACTTTCTGGCCTTAGTTTAAAATATTTGTTGAAAAAAACTGTTCAAGCATGACTTTTATTAAATTTAAAGTGATGTCTATAAATCAACATAAATCAAAATATTTCAACGCATGGCGAAAGTGAACACGAAAGCGAATTTCGCCCCAACTTTCCCGCACACACACACACACACACAGACGAAAACTTTTAATGCGCTCAAAATATAGCAACAAATGTGGAGCTGGTTGCCGAAACTCACAGCCAAGCCCGAGCCGGAGCCCGGGACACAGAAAGAGGCCAGCAGCGAGAGAGACAGCGCCCAGGACTGGGGCCGTTCCACGGCTGAGCACAGCAGGAAACACGCCAACCATCAATAAATTAATCAAAGTCATAATCAGTGTCAGGTTCAGTGGCACTGGCGAAAGTTGTAGGCCATTCAGCTCAGCTTAGCTCAGCTCAGTTCAGCTCCAATTCGGTTCGGTTATTTTCGAGGTCGTGACTCAGTCAAGCGGAAAACCCGCGCTGAAAAGGTGCAAAATGCCAGCTGCTGATAATGAGTTAATAAATGACCGTTAAGGCAATATTTATAAGGCATGTCCCTACTATAAATGTGTGTGTGTGTGTGTGTATGGGAGATTTGCGATAAGGCTATTTTTGAACTTAGTCTGGTATAAAGGGCATATAAGGAGAGCTAATTAAAAAAGATACTTTTATGCTATGAGCAAGATCGATAAGTGCACTTTTTGTACATTGTTAGAAAATTATTTGCATGTATGACTTTTGTTGATGGGATATTTTTAATTAAAAATTAAACTCAGCTTTAAAATTACGAGAGAACAATTTTATTTATACGGATGATATATGAAAGAGCAAGGGTGGAATCGTAGATTCATTTATATTCTATATTCTATTTATGAAAAAATAAAAGTATATTGAACATTGAATTTGATAAAACTGTTTTTTTTTATACGGATGATACGTGAAAAAGCAAGAACAGCATGTCAAGTCGAAGCACAATGAAAAATACATTTGGAAATAAGAAAGAGTTTTTCATAAAACTTAATTGAAGTAAAGCTTTTCTTGGAATAATTTTAATATTTAATATATTTTCTAGTTCTGTTAGAAGCGATCGGCAAACCCTTAAAGGCATTCGTAAACAATATATGAAAATATTTGAATGTTTTGTATAGTGAATAGCAAATTTTGGTTTGGATTAGAGGGAACAAAAAGGAATATTTGCAAGTAGGCTTATGTATTTAGGCCTGAATGAGTTCCATATTTGAGTTTGTCTTGAAAAGCACAAATGCCCTCTTTTTCAGTTTACACACATTGCGTATGCGTAATATGCGTTCGACAGAAATTACGCTGACAACATCTGAAATAGGCAACTTATGTTTATTATTGACAGAGCATCCGACAAGTGAGCAAGTGAAACGCTTTTTTTGCTGCTCCCTCTTACACGATTTTATTACCTAACCCAATCAAAGTGAACGCCTTTTGCCATTGCTACCGCTTCCCCCACTAACTCTTCGCCCGCTTTGACTGCAGCTCTCCGACAAGTTGCCAGCTCAAGAGTCGCAATAACGACGTTTTAACCAAGCAAACAAATTTGACGTGCTTTTCGTGATTTACATGCAAATATTGAAAAATATTCCCCAAGGATACCGCAAAAAGCAAACCAAACTGTCTAAAGCTAAACACAAGCGGTACCAGGAAAAAGAAAATAAAAAAAAACTCGCATTGAAGGGAGAACAAAAAAAAAAGAATTCCCAACGTCAGGAAGCAATATCGATTTTCATGTGGGCGGCGGTAAGGAATAAAAGAGCACGGCAAATAAAAGAAATATTGGCCAACAAAAGACAAAGTGGAGGTCTGCGGTGGCAATAGGGCAATTGGGAGCTCAAATGGGGCCACAAATGCCTCGTTTTTGGCCTAAAAATGCGCTACACCCGAAAGATATGGCCAAAAGCAGAGGTTGAAAAATGTTCCCGAAATAGGTTTTCAATATAAATAATGAAAATTTCGCATGTAATAAATAACATTGAAAACCTTTTAAATTATTAAATCAAGTTAAAATTTAAAAGAAAATAGAGCACATGCTTAAGGTAATTCATATTTTTCTATTATGTTTAATATATGCAAATAAAAATATAATTTTCTGGTATCAAATTTGAGCTCATATATTTAATTATTAAATATTGCTTTTATATTTGATTTTATTTTATCAAATCAATCAAATCGAATACCCAACCTAACATAAGCTTTGTTGTTGTATGTTAGCCGTAAGCATTTAAATATGCCTCTCAATTGACGTATTTCGGATTACATCATAGTTTGATGTGAGCTTAGGTGTCCGAAATAAGATTTGATCAAGTTTTCCGCACGAGTTAAGTGGTTCATTTTGAAGTTTCAAACAGACCTTGCCCAATCTAAATATGGCTTCACCCTATTCATATGTAGCCATAAATCACGCACGCACACACACACACACGCTGATAAAAAGAAAATGCAGGAAAAACTGAACTGAAACTCAGCTCGGTTCAGTCAACCAAGCACCCAACTAACCAGCTGAGAAGGCTTTAAAAGTCAAAAAATGGCAAAAAGAGCAAAAATAGTTAATAGAGGGAGATAGACAGATGGAGCAGGAAGGGAAAAGAGAGAGAGAGAGAGAGAGATAGCGCGCGGAAAAGAAACTGAAACGGGTTAATAGAGGCAGGAGCAGAGACCTCTGACAAGACAAGTGGGTGCGTTCATGCGGAAAACTTGTAAACGCAGCTCAGCTAGTTAGTTAAGTGGGCGGTGCCACAAAACCCTCGCCCCCCTAACAAGCCTCCAACTCTGAGCCAAACAAAAAAAAAAGAGCTGCCCTGAGCATATCGAAACCCAACAACAACAACGACGACGACAACAACTGCGGCGAAAAATCAACATCAATTTAGAATATTAAAAAAACGCAAAGTCGTGCGTGGGCAGGCGCCGTCGCCCGCAGCAGCATGTGGTGTGTGGCTATAAGAAGAAGACTTTGTGTAGGATATACGACTTACCCGCCACTTGCAGCGTGGCATTGCGACTCCGTGCCACGCCCAGTTCGTTCTTGGCCTCGCACCAGTAGATGCCAGCATCTGTTTCGCGACGTGAATTGACAACCTGCAAAAACAAAAACAGAGAAGTTGGAGTTGAAAAGTTGTCAGTAAAAGAACGAACTGAGGGCCAAATGTGAGCAAATTTTAATTGAAATGAGTAAAAGATTGTTTTTACATACTATATACCCTTTAAGAGCGGCAGTATTAGTTTGTAGCTACAGTTTGACTGATGTAATTTCCTATGTTAATGTGAACTTGAATTGATATGTAAATGATTCCCAACTTGTCTTCATCTTAGATTTGTTTTAGACTTGATGAATTGCTATGAGATATGATTCCTAAGCTGGTAATTTGAGAATTCGACCGTATAGTTAGTCAAAAAAATATTTACCTGAGTTCTTGAACCGGTTTAAAACTGGTTCGGAGTTGTATCTCGGCAAATATTTAAGATATCATGCTGAAATTTTAAAAATCAAAAGTAAATAAAAGAAAAACAAACCAACTAAACCAAAGAAATTAAATAAGTTCTTAATTAAAAATTTCATGAGCTTGCTTTCAAATTAATCGTAACAAATTCTAAAAAAATCAAATAAATAACAGCTCTGACCTAAAATTATAAACTTTATAAACCTATAGAAATACATATTAAAACAATTGAAACTTGTTCAAAATAATATCCAAACTTAACTATGCATATATTCATGTTTAACCTCTACGAACATCAGTTAAGCCTACCCTTTGTTGCCACACTCACAGGGTATATTGGAGTTATGTCATCTTTTAGATTGCGTTGCTTTCTTTCTTATTGTCATTTTACAAATGGGCTGCAAAAAGTGCTTTCGCAACTTCAAGACGTTGATTTGCAGTCTCTATCTCATGTGCTGTACGCTCTCTCTCTCTATAT